ACAAGGTCATGTCTAAATATTTCTTGGATTATGGCAATTTTGACAATTTTATGAACTTTGCCTTATGATTACCATATACTTATTTTCATAAAATCCCAGTTTCCCATCTTTCGAGTATATTATACTAATTAATTAGCTAGGAAAACCATGAATATATTGTTCACTAGGAATAAATTAGGGGATATTAGTTAGGTAAATTAAGCCAATCAGTAAACAAAATTACTGAAGTGTGTGTGTGCGGGGGGAGGGAGAGTGAGGGGGACATGGTGGGTAAGTATTCTCAATTGTGATCATAGCAAATCATGTTGACAAATAAATATTAAATAAAAGGACACTGCTCAAATTTTTCTTTACCAAAGAGTTTTATTATCTACCAAACAAATTTTTAATTCCTTGACAAGCAGCAAAAATGGCTTTGGTTCTTATTGTAAAACTGAAGTCTACCAGCCCAAACTTGATCTTCATAGGATGGATAAGAGTGAGATGGCAAATTTTATCATACATTTCTATCTCTCCAATTCATTTTCTTAACTCAGTCCATTGTCAGACTTGGAAAGTTGTCCAGTAATATGCATTCCATGTTCACTGTCTTGCTGTTGCCTTGAAATTGGCACGGTGGGAGTGTTTAGACCAGTCCAATGAAAAGAAGACACATTGGGGCTTTCACTTTTTTCTGGAGATCCGATTGTTACACATTTACCAACACATCACTGAGTCATATATATACTGCCTTGAACCTACACACACACACACACACACACACACACACACACACACACACTTTTGCTTCTTCAGCGTTTTTAGTGAATACATTAAACCTAGCTGGAAATGAGGTCACATCCAGTTTTGCAACAACACAGACTGTCAAATGTACTAAATTATCCTCAACTTTCTGCCTCTCTTGAGGAACCAAATAGAAATGCTAATTATTACAAAGTGCTTATCACGTACCTTTTCCTGGGCACTAGACACCTGCTTGTTTCACATCCCTCTTGGGATTAGTATTTCAGTAAACAGAGATTCATACTTCCAGTGGATGAATCATTTTGTAAAAAGGAGGGACGTACACTCTGCTTAATGAGCGCCTCCTTTCTCTTCACCTGCATGTGGATGACAAGCTGATTGTCCCTAGACCAGGGCACAGTTCATCTGAGCTTCGTGCTCTGTTCAATGTGCACCTGCTCACTCACACAGCACCACAAAGACGCTGAATGACATTATGTGGGAGGGTGCACCGCCTCAGGTGCCAAATGAAAAGCACTTCTGGATTTCTGAGCCGTTGCTAATTTCCATGAATAAAACTCTTTGTGTTGGTGGGCTTTTTTTTTTCCATGAGCAGCCCTGTAACTGTTTAAACTTACTAAAGATGCCCAAAGACCATGTAGTCTAATCCACCATTCCTACTAGCCCTTGGGGAAGAAAGAAGTGCTTTACTGTTATCCATTTGGCAAAACTATAAATGAGCCTTATTATATGCTTTAGAGTGCAAGGTTTAGTATTTAGTTCCATTATACATACACACAGTACTTGATGAAAGTGAAGTGTTGGAATAAATAAGACCGACGGTGGCTTATTCGAGGATGCATGTCGATCACTTCTGGCTGGCTGACTGCAACATCCATTTTGAGCAGGTCCTACTGCAAACATATTGCAAGAAGCTGAAGTTCCTCTTCTATCAAATGAAAAATGCCAACAACAGATGCCAGAATACAACATTACTGAAAATATGATATGTGCAGGCTATGAAGAAGGAGGAATAGATACTTGTCAGGTAAATACATAAAACTGCTCACTCTTCACTTTCAGAAATCATGGCTAGATAGTGATTTCATTGCTTAACAATAATTTGGAAGTAGAGAAATCATCAAGGTCCTTTAATTTCACCTCTTCTTTTACAAAACTGTTATTTTTACCTATTGGCATAGTACTCCTGAGTGGACCTGAGCATTAGAAACAAAACTAATATTAAAGATAAGGGTTACAAATCGGATGGCTTTATAGAATAAGCACAATATTAGAATGTGTGAGGTAGCTAGCTCAAATGAAAAGTAATGGATCTGGGTTGAGACAGAAAGGGAGCACCTTACCTAAAAGCATTTATTTTCAAATTTCCAATTCTTTTGAACCCTGTGCAAACTTAAAACAAACAAACAAACAGGTCTGAGGGCCAATTTGGTCTATGGGCCTCTAAATTTCAACTCTGAATATACAGTACAGTCCATGTGTCCAGTGCCCTTAAGTAATGTCTAGATGAAAAACAACTTGGATAGCCTACTTAGCGCCAGTTTATAGCTAACCGAGTGGGAAGTAAATGAAGAACTCATGCAATAGCCTGGCATAACCCTGGCTCTGGAACTCTTATACTAGAATTTTTATATTATCTTTTACATTTTATTTTAGAGATGTAATAGCATGAACTTGCTGCAGTGTTAATATAAATATTCCAATAACTTTCAAATGTCAATAGCTTCTGACCATCAGAAAAAAACCTCTCACCCAAATACTACCCTCATTGAAATATCTTATCACCTAGAAATAATGCATCTATTTATTAGTTCAAAGAAATCCACGTATACTCAAGAAATAAAAAGTAAATTCTCCTATATTTTAAAATCTTAATTAATTTTTAGGTGCAGCATGGGAGTGGTCATTAATAGCATGGATTCTGTGTTCAGACTGCTCTTGTTTGATCCTGGCTTTAAGTGATCCTCACTTATTGGTGAAGCTTTGGGCAAACTACTTGGGGGTTATCGAGAGGTTTAAATGTTATAATACACCTAAGACACCAAATGAGCACTCAAAAATATTAACAGTTTTTTTATGAGACATAGAAAATAAATTTTCTGGCATGACTTTTGTATTTGAAAATTAATAAAATATTAATGCATTAACTCCTAATGGATTATATTAGATTGAACTTGATAGCATTACTGGCCAGACAATCTTGAAATGTGGAAGTAGTGATTAATATCATGAAAAAATGGTTTTGTGTTAAAGCATAACAGCTTGTTTCATATATTAACACATATAGGTCATAATAACACTATATGATAAGACTTTTTAACAGACATTAGGCAAATAATCTGTATATGTTAAATCAGTGTCTCAAGTCATATTAAACTCCCAGCTTAGTTTGAAATTGATTCTACTTTGGTAAACATTGCAAATTTAAGACAAATCAGATAGTTTTCTTCTTGTTTAAAATTTATCTCTGGATCTTGTACTTCCCTTTTAAAATGACCAATGTGTTAAGGTAAGATATATTGCCACTTAGGGAGAGATTTATAGGATTATTGTGCAGAAGGGAAATCAGCTGTACAACTTCAATTATAGTTAATGGGGATTGTGTAGCAGACACCTCACGCACTAGGCAGAAAATATGATGGCTGATGCTATTGATGTTAGGGTTACATTAGGCCATTAACTCATGCCAGAGCTCTGAAATCTTACAGTTGGCTCTAATTTCTACAGTCTGTTATTCATTAGCAAGTAAGAGAGCTCTCACACAAGGCAATACCTTGTGTAATATGACGTTATCTTAATTGAGTAATCAATACTCCAGATTTTCACATGATTTTCTTTGTTCAACTTTATTATTATGTTTTATAAGAGGAGTAACTGTGAAGAGAGCATTATTTAAAATTGTGAACATGTTATTATTGACACATTATTTGAATAAGTTATTTTTTTAGCCTTATAACGGCAAAGAATTCACAACAAGGTCATTCATAGCTTCTTTAATGTCTTCTGGCTTACCAAAGACTTGCCTTTTGGAGGTAGTTGTCTAGACCAGTGGCTGAAGAAGGTCTTCTCTACATAAAACTCAATGAATGACACTCTACTAACTATTCCAAGCCATATTCTATACCCATGGTTTTCAAAGTGTGGCCTCCAGTCCAGCAGATGAGCATCACCTGATAACTTGTTAGAAATGCAAATTCTCAGGTCCCATCACACACCTGTGGAATAGAAAACTGTAAAGGTGGGGCCTAAATATGTATGTCTTGTCACGTCCTTCCAGTGATTCTGATGCATACTAAGGTTTGAGAACTACTGTTCTAAACAAAAATGGTCACGAAGCAACCCTTACACCCAAGTATTCAAAGAAAGTAGTGATTTGTGTTTTTATTTATAAATACATCATCTAACTGGAAATATAAATTTAAGGTCAATACTTTATGTTCTAGGCATTCACACATGTTTTTGAAGTACTTATAAATTTCTGAGATAGTGGAAGAAGGAAATACCTTCATTGAACAAATCAGCAAATTAAGGCAAGGAGAAGACTTATAACTAACTGAAGTGGTGTAGTTAGATGACACGAAGTGATGGAAACAGACCTAGGTATCCCAGCCAGACAGACCTCCCAGAAGACAGGCAACAAGCCTGCTGCAGGGTCCTTGAGTAGCTGCAACTGACCCAGTATATGCTGGAAAAGTTAATACCCCTGTTCCATCTGGATCCTCTTGTCTATTACGAAATGACTCCTTCTAAAAATACTCAAGCAGTTAAAATTTAGTTTTAATAATTTCTAAATCACATAAAATGCATTTTGAGCCTTGAATGTACACTGTTCCATAAATATGTCTGAATCCATATTACAGACTGAGGGTTTGGGAGGCAGAAATAAAAATCACAGTTCCTGCTTTCAAACAGCTTGAACACATTTGTTACACACAGAATTCCGGTAGCCTGTGGTTGCCAATGCAATTTATGTTCCCCAGTACCAAAGAGAAAAAAGATACTCTGATACGTCACATTTTTTTGTCCTTAAATATAGTCCCCAAAGATGATGAAGAATCAGGCAAAAAGTCTCACAGGATATTTGCCAACACTGAGTGGGGATTGAAATATTCTATTATACCAGTGATTTTAAACAAAGTATATAAAGCATTAAAATTCCTTCATAGAAATAAAAAAATAGATTAATTAAAAATATTTGCATAATTAATACAGGGAAAATACTTGTCAATTTTGTGTCATTAAATAATGATACTATATGTTTGCATTATCTTTGCATTATACAGAAGTTGTTCAAATAAAATCCATGTGATTAATTCTACTAGGATCTGCTGTAATTAATGTTTGTGAAAATTAAAAAGATTTCTTCATCATTTGAAATCTCAGATGAAAACACGTGTTTCTATCACTAGAAATTACATCATAGATTTGCCTATTTCAGCTGAAATGCTAAGTTTTTCAAATTTGATGGTGTTTATTGAGTGCCAAATAATTAACCCTACCTAAAAGAACTAAAATTAACACTATGTGTGAGTTTTTAATTTTTCTGAAGAGCATACTGTGGAATAATTTTGTCTTTTCCACAAAGTCCTTCATGATACTTAGATCTAAAATGACTGACTTTTAATATATATTTTGATTGGGATGCTTTTCATAGATGTGGTTTAGAGCATTTCTTAGTCTCAATCAAAATGCCGTAATTAAAGTGGGAAAACTCTCACCTGTATCATAAAAAAAATATAAATTATGTTTTCATTATCAGAGTTTCTCTGTCTCCTTACCGGGGAGAGAAGAATTCTCATTCATGACCTAGAGTGAAAGTGAGACAATATACAGATGACTTGCAATTAAATCATATTTTTGAATATTTATTTTTGGATTGATTCACTAAAAACAATCTTATATACGTATATCGATTGATCATGTATCTACAATTTTATTTTGCAATTCGCTCTTTAGGGGGATTCAGGAGGACCATTAATGTGCCAAGAAGACGACAGATGGTTCCTTGCTGGCGTGACGTCATTTGGATACCAGTGCGCAGTGCCTAATCGCCCAGGGGTGTACGTCCGGGTCACGAGGTTCACGGAATGGATACAAGGTTTTCTACGTTAGAGCATTTCTTAAACCAAACACGAAAGGAGGGTGGTTTTCCCATTCTACTCTAAGGAGCATAGAAATTGAGAATTTTATTTAAAAAAATTAAAAAGTTACCAAAAGCCTTTATTCCTAAGCCACCGAAATGTTAGGGGCAAATAAAACAAACAAAAATAAAATTAATCTTTGTGATACGAAGTAACTTTAAATGCATATTGATTTCATTATGAATAGCTATTCCTTCACAGATACAATTTCCTTTGTCCTTAATCATCATTTTATCATTTTCTGTTTATTTAAAGGGATGTTATTTTAAAGCACACATCATGCACTTAATAAAATCTGAGCAAAATTAGAAAAAGATGTGAAATAAATTGTTTTGTCCAAAGTATGTAATTGTCTAAAATAAACTGCTATAAATTGTCTAGTTCCAGTTTAGCTTGCTATTATCAGAATCTAAATAGTTTTCCTGCTTTTAATCCAAACACATTTTTGTTTCAATTTAAGAATAACCTTAATATTTACCCCAATCATAAAAAATATTTACTATAAGCTCATGTCACAGACCTGGACTAAATTTGTTTTACGTTACTCTCAAATAAACTAATTAAACAGGAAATAGGCATAAGTCTATGTATCATTCTAGCATCAAAATAAAAGGCAAATTAACTGATGTGGTCAATTTATATCAAATAAGTTTTTACCTAGATTATGCATATTTTCCATTTATTTCAAGCTAGTATTTTTTAAGTCTCCAAAACATTAGACATATCAAAGCAATGCAACTATTACAGATGTTTTTCTTGGTTGATGTGCGTAACAGTGGATGGTTCTAACATGTGAAAAACTTATTTAGACACAGCTGAATTGCCATTTGAAAGCCAAAAATGTGTGATAAATGAATTTGCTTCACTTCTTTAATCTCTTGGATCATTTCCAAACTTTAACTTAGCTTACCACACAGAATCCGTTGATTTCGGGAGACAAAGCTCATACCTAGTTAATACAAAACATACACACACACATACACATATTCTGTCATGAGCCAATATAATAGAAGAGAGAGTAAGGTTTAAAGAAGTTGAAAAAAGGGACCAATCAGTATGTATTGGCTTTAAGAAAGGAGAGTCAAGCTACACCTGGAAGGAATGATTTTTACTGAAGCATTTAAGAGGATATTGGGGACCCACTGTGCAGTTGGGAGTAATCCTAAAAGTTCAGAGAGAGGTCAGTAGAGAATCCTGTGTATCATACCAAAAAAGCTCTCTCTAAAATAGTCCAAAAAGCAGGGGGTTGGGGGAGGAATGCCGTTTGAAGAAGGTGTGGCCAGATAATGGAGGACTATGAAATCATAGCAAAGAATTGCAGAATTTATTCTTAGGACAAAAATTGGAGCCCCTAAACACACTATTCTTGTTAAGATCTTCCCAATAATCTGACTCTAACAGTTGGGAAGGAGCAGGCTGTTTTTTCTTATTATCTGAAGATTGTTTCGCATTTTATCTGCATTTCCAAACATGTATTAAAAGTATGTTCCGAAAATATACTCACAACAGATATACCATGTACATATTTTCATTTTTTAAAAGTCACCTAAAATTTTATGGAACTTTTAGGACAGCATCACTCCCATCTTCTAGTAAGAGAGACGTTTATTATCCTACTCCTAGTTGCTTATGGGTTTAGTCTTTGATACTAGAAGAGTTACTCACACCAGGGTAGAGATAAAAGGCAAAACCAAGGCGTTTCTCCATTGCTTTGCTTCTTGCAGCTGTTATAGTCCTCAATGGCAGAGACAAAGGGGAATTCCTAGATTCCTTCCATTAAGTCCTGTGTAAATGAAGAGATGCATGGTGGTACCTTGGAGGGAAAAGGTAGATTCCAGCAGCTGGTCTCCTGTTCTACTCAGAAAGATAGTTGCCAAGAAAAGAAAGAGGAGAGCTATATGTAGGCAAATCTCAGCTTTGAATGTAGCTGCTCATTCTCTCCATCTCTAAAGAGCTGAAAAGGGGCTAAAGCTCATTGGTTTCTATTTTGCCTCTTAGCTTTGCCAACCAACTCTGATTGTGAATTGGCGTTAATGAAAACATTTTATTATCTTACTGAAAAGGGCCGACAGGGAAAAGATTAGATATAACCACAACTTCCATTCTTACCACACTTAAAGAGTATTTGTTTTCTACTTAACGTATTAATGCTAACATATCTACTTTGCTCACGTAAGAGATTTAGACAACCTCAATGATCATTCTTCAGAAACAAGAACTCTTTATTTGGTTAAAAGGAGCACAGGGACATTTGAAGACCAGATAGTTACAACTCTTTCTTGAGAAGAACAAGACATAAGCATTGAAGACACTAGAAGGAGAAAAGACAGAAAGAAGCTGCCATTTACTATCTAAAGCAAACTCTCACCAATGAATATTCAACCATTGAAGGACTCCAACCCATTTTCACATGAATTCATATTTTCTTCCCTTCCTGAATTGTCAATGTACTGTGCTTAGCTCCACATTGATGGTGACCATACACCTGGTCCCAACTGTAAGACTTCATCATCTACTAATACATTTAGAGGCTAAATGCAGCTAGGAAAATCTTCGACAAACTCTGCAACTGTCTGCCTCCAGGGTCAATCCCAAACCCCAAACAACCGTCTATGTTTTGTGAGCAAGAGAGGGAACACATTGATTCCAGAACCCTCCGAGAGCTGCTTGTAGTTACATAGGCAACATGTGAAGATATATGATTTATATTGTATATGCCACTTCTTTTGTTCAGATAGACTGCATCATTGTTTGCACAGCTATTAATAAAGTTATTTTATTACAAAATCTGTTGAATTTTAAACTAAAAATAATTGTAAGGCACATGTCTTGCACAATTGAAATTAGACAATTCTTGCCTCTACGTAAAATGTTTGAGGAAATTTGTACCACAGTTAATGAAATAGCTTCTTATTTCTGAAGAGATTTCCTAAACATTCACTGACCAAAAGCAGAGAAGCTGAAAGACAACGAACCATTTCTTGAAAAGAAACTTTTTCTATGGTAATATATGTGTGTCTGTGTATGTGTTTGTGTGTGGATTCAGTCGACAACAGTAATAAATTTCTTTAATCAAAACAGCATGTATCGAAAAATGAAACACCATAAAAATAAATATTAGAACAGTACATTTTTATCAAACACTTATGCAAAGGTAAAATATTTTTCACACTGTAAATTTCAATACAATTTACATTACATTAACTAGATTACAACTTATGAAAGGTGAAAGAAATGAAAATAACTGCTTCCAACACACATACTCCTGATGTGTTGATTGCAATTTTATCTGCATGGTCCATTCCATTTACTCAAAGTTTGGGTGCATCCTTTAGCAAAATAAGCATGTCTCACTCCATTATTAGCACAGCATATTTTGTAAATGAAATAATAAACATATAAAATTATTTTAATATTTGCCTCAAGGGGGAGCTTACAGTTCATCTTGCAGATCCTTTGAGGTCTCAAGCCATTCCAAGCTAATGTTCTGATGCCGTTCCTTATACAGATCCAGAATCATAAAATTCTATTTTCATTTCTGAAGTCAAATCAATGAATTATTACACTTCCATGCCACTTTCCTTTCTGGTGCTCTTTGAAATCCACAATGTGGACTGGTTTGGGCTAGTTTTTGTTCTTCCTTTACTGAAAAACATAAGAAAAAATAAATTCAGTGCCTAAAACTTCTTAACAAACTAGACACGTCTTGGTCCAAATGGAGATATCTTAGACACGTATTTATAAAAGGGTCTTTCTTCTCTCACCAGCATACTTTTCCATTCCTACAAAAAATTCTAGATTATTCCAATGCGTAAAGATGGCATACAGGTCTTATGAATGATGAAGCAAACAAAATATACCTTTCCCTGTTTGACTCTTCATAATTTAGACTTCAGATATACACATACAAAAACGTGTCTGACACAATATTTAAAATGTCCATGTTATTCGCCAATAAACCTTTATTTTCTTTGATCAATTATTTTTTTAAATCTTGCTTTTGGAGTATCCTGCCACTAATGTATGAAGAACTTAATGTAAAAATCATCAAAACGATGCTCTTATACTAAGTGTTGGGACAGGCTTATACCCCTCCTCCCATCCGTTTTACTGTCCTACACGTAAAGTCACTCGATCCCTGAAAGCTTAGTTGTGCCTCAGTCTCTGAAACCAGTATAGTTCAATGGCAGATTCATGCTTTGGTAATTTGGGAGTATCTGAGTTCCTCCAGGTCTGTGATGTGACTTCACTCTTGTCAGAGCTGGAATTCTGGCCCGCCTTTCCAGATTGTACCTGCAGCTATGCTGTCTTCTGTCTTTCCATAAAATGGTCACTTTTCAGGCACCTACACAAGTATCTATTCTTGAGTTTACCCAAGTTATCCTCTGGCAGATTCCTTGTCAAATTCTAGATTTCTCTGGACTATTCTTTGCACTATTCTTTGCCTATCACGTTCACTGTACCCTGCACTTACCTCCTCCCCGACCACCCCAGCCCCAATTTCCAGCATCTGCCCCAATCCCTGCAGGCATCTTCCCATCCCTCCTCTCCATCCACCAGATGTTGCAGAACTCCTTTAAAAAGAGAAGAGAACTATTTCTAAACACACCTGACCATTACGATTTTAAAATAATATTTAATTCACTTCAATTTAACTGATTTTACACTAATAAAATATTATGTCCATATTGTATGTTTGGTAGATTTTCATCCAAATAAGATCAAACCAACTTTATTCTACAAAGTCATTTAATGTGAATGTAAAATAAATCAAGCAAAGTTTATAAAAAGCGCATTTTTTAAATGATAAAAAAATAAACTGGTTAATTGTTAATTTGGCTTTTGTGTAGAATTAGTGTTTCACATAAGAATTACTACCAGTTAGGGAAATAAGAGTTATTTTGGACATGACATGGACATGGAATGAGAGAAGCCATCGTGTGTACCAGGTTGGAATTTAAACTTTCTGCA